GCAACGCCGCGCACCGCGCCATGCGCGCGAGCAGGAACGCTACGTGCCTTGGGACGGGCCGCGCGCGAATGGCCCTCTCTTCATAGAAATGCAACCGCAGGCGAATGCGTCAAAATGCCTCAGCGCGAGGCCGGCGCGCTGCGCCAGGCAGGAAAGCCACGCAGGTCACGGACACCGCCTGCGTTATCTGCAGCAGCGCCTGCCGCGCGCGCGGCCGCAGAGCGAACGGCGCGACCGCGCAAACATTGCGAGGGCGCCGCGAATCGGGGGCGTCAAGCGCTCCCCTACGTCTTGGCCCATTTCGCGGGCCGGGGCGGCGTGCGCGGCGCGTCTGGCGCCGGCCTCCTCGAGCTGCCCCACGCGCCCGTCTACCACGTGGATCGGCCCCAGCCGCCGCTGTGCCAGGACGCACCGGAATGCGAAGAGCGCGTCTCCGCCGCGCCCTTGTTCGGCGCGGCGCGGCCACTGCCGCGGCCGTTGCCCGCGGGCGTGGCCTGGGCGGCCTGCCCCTGCGCCTGCAAACGCAACTGTCACGCACGACGCGCGACGCCCCCGGCGCGCGCGGGCGACCTTGGCTGCGCGGTCGAACTCGTTCTCGGCAGACCGCAGGGACAACGCGTCGAGCCCTTTCGAGGCCTCCTCAATATTGAACTTCTCGACGCCGCTCTGTCGCGAGCGCTCGGCCCAGCTCTTGCGGGCGATTTTGTCGCACAGGAGCCCAAGCCCCGCCTCGCGGCCCGCGAGCGGAGCTTCCAAGGCCACCTCGCGAAAAGCAACGGGTGCGCGCGCCGCTACGCGCGCGCGCTGGCACGTCGCGGATCTGGAGCACAAATCGCTTATGCTCCAAGCAGCGTGCGTAAGATAGCTGCTTAGTGGCAGCAGCCGCAATCGCCCATGCGTCGTAGGCGAGGTGAAACTCGGCCCACGACAACGCGCGCTGACCTTTACTGCCGCACTCAGCCGTCACTCCGTTGGCGTCTGCGTCGTCGACCCCGCGGGCGCTCGCGGCCCAGGTCGGGAGAAAGCCGCGCAAATCAGAGTAAACGAAAGGATTCGCGCAGCCCCTCTTTCTCGCGCGTACGACCTCGGCAGCCATCCAATCGCATTTCTCGCTCCTGTGCAAGGCGGCGACCGCTGTCACCGCCGCTGGCGCGCTCACGCGAGGGCGCGCCTCGGCAAGATCGTCTGGCTGAGGCCGTTCAACGTAATCGTCGCCAACTCAGCGCCCACGTCTACGTGGCGCACGGGGGCGGCCATTTCCACATTGGCCCCCGCCCCGATGCGAGCGCGCAGACCAGGGGGGCTTGCCGGGCGCGCTCGCGCACGCTACCTGCTTACCCGCACTTGTGGCGCGCTCCAGCGCGCGGCGGAGCACGCCTTTCACGCCCGCTGGCAGGCCCTCTGAGCCTGACAGCTCTTCTAGCCGAATGTTCGCCAGCTGCGCCGGCGTCAGCAGCTTATCAGCGCCTAGGCAGTCAATCGCAGCCTTGCATTCGATGTCCGACCATTCTGCTCCGAACACGGGGTCTTGGCGCAGAAAGCTCAGCAGCGGTCCGTCCGCCATCACGAACAAAGAAGCCAGAAAACACCAGCGTCGCACTGCTCGCGCACGCGGGGATCACGCGGCGGGCCGACTGCAACGCAGCGCGCTCAACACGCGCACATAAGACGGCGACGCCGGTAACAACACGAGCGAGGTGCCTGCAGATACCTGGTCCGCCGCTTCGCAGACGCAAAACGAACGCGCGCACCCCGAACGCGGGGGGGGAACGGCGGCGCCGGGAACGCAACGCGAGATGCCAGCGAAAACCTGGTCCGCTTATGGCCGTGAGCGCGGGTCACGCGTCTTACCGAGCGGGCAGGCGCTGGCCAGCTGGTCGATCCTAGCGCTTCGTGCGCACGGCCCAAGCGGCACCGTGGCCGTCAGCTCCATCGAGGGGCTGCCTGAGGGCCCTGCGGCAGATGTGCGCCTCCGCGGCGACGATCTGCTGCGATCGCGCTGGGGGGCTGGATGCTCCCGCCGCCCGCGCACGCGACAGTAAGAACACACAAGAGGGCCAATGTGACACGTCTCGCGACATGAGGCGGGCTGCGTTGACGGCACCTCGTCGTCAGACGACATCGCTACACGGCGCACTTAGTAGCCCGCGCAGCGACCCTTATGCGGCCCCCAGTTGCGGGAGGGAGCGCGCAAATCCACACTGGGACGACACGCACGGCACGAGCGCGCGCGTTTGTTACAAGCGTTGTGGTCGCGCGCGCCGCCCTAGGCGCCCGCGACCCGCGCTGGCGGGCGCACTCGCAGCTTTGCCCGGCGGAAGTGCGCTTCATCGCCGCTGTCTGGATTGCCCATTAGACGGTAGCGCATCACGGGCGCAATCTTGGGCTTAGCGTAGCCCATTATGATACGGCAGACGTCGCGCGGCAAACGCGGCGCGCATTGGGCCAGGGCGAAGCGCAGTTCAGCCCACACCTGCTCCAGCCTTACTAACCGAGGGCC